CATCTTTTTTTTTTTTTTTAATTTTATTTATTTATTTGACAGAGACAGCGAGAGCAGGAACACAAGTAGGGGGAGTGGGAGAGGGAGAAGCAGGCTTCCCGCTGAGCAGGGAGCCCGATGTGGGACTCCATCCCAGGACTCTGAGATCATGACCTGAGCCAAAGGCAGCCGCTTAACGACTGAGCCACCCAGGCGCCCAGCCCTGCCAACATCTTGATTTTAGCGCCCTAAGATTCAGTTCGGACTTCTGGCCAGCAGAATTGAAAGAGAACACACTTCTGTCGTTTTAAGCCACGAAATTTGTGGTAAAGTTGTTATAGCTGCAATGGGAAACTCATATAAACCTTGTCAAACGGCAGTGGTCCCAGACACATCCTGCTGGTTTTTCTTCTGGGGTTGCTCTCCTCTTTCTTGGAGATGCTTCTCCATGCCTTTTGCCTGTTTTACTCCTACCCCTTCCTTAAGATTCAGTTTCAGGACCACCGCCTGCTCTCCTGGTTGCCCCAGGGCGGGTGAGGGTCTGTCCTCCAGGCGTGCACCACACCTGAGTATTTCCTTACCACTGCAGTCACCAAAAGGTCTTATCGTGGTGTTTATGTGTCTGCCTCCCCAGGAGGCTGTGAGCCTCTTCCGGGCAGAAATCAAAAGCTCTTCTTCCTTCAGTCCTCTTTGTGTAGTGTCTAGCACAGGAATTGGCACATTAGAATCCTCAGTAATTGTTGAATGAATGAATGAACAGTCCCTTGCGCCTGGGACTGAGCCCTAAGAAAATTCCAATTCAACCATCAACCAGGTTCAGGTCTGACAGCTGAGCTATCCACTGAGAATCCTGCAAAATAAATGCCAGAGGGAACACTTAGAATACCAAAATATTTGTTTTCTTGGGGCAGGGTGAGGATTAGAGCCTATAATGTAGAATGTGGTAATGCCTGATTCTTTTTTTTTTTTTTTAAGATTTTATTTATTTGAGAGAGAGAATGAGAGACAGAGAGCACAAGAGGGAAGAGAGTCAGAGGGAGAAGCAGACCCCCCACCGAGCAGGGAGCCCGATGTGGGACTCGATCCCGGGACTCCAGGATCATGACCTGAGCCGAAGGCAGTCGCTTAACCAACTGAGCCACCCAGGCACCTGCCTGATTCTTTCCCAACCTGACATTCCTTGAGCTTCTCAACCTAGCCCGGGTAGTACTGACAGCTCAGAAGCTCCATTCTGCAAATCCCATGCTTCCCTCATGATTCATGAAGCTCTACTACTAAACTCTAACTATTCTTAACATATAATATGATTTAGCTCCTAGTAAGGCTCATAACCGAAATTATGCTACTAACTAATTAATACTGTATCCTTTAAATGGGATTATAGGCCTTCATGTACTATTTGATAAAGGTATTAAGCTGAAGCTATAAATACAATTTCATTTTGCAAGCTGTTTCTCTACAAGGACTTTTATCTGACTACTGCAACGTGACTTTCCTCTTTGTCAGACAAGACAGGCTGTCATCTTCTCCAAGGTCTATAAATTCGGGGACACTTTACAAATGAAAGCATGTTAAAAGAAAACCGAAAATGGACCAGAGCAAAGCGATAAGGAATTATAAACTAACTTTAATTGTATCAACAGGAAGAATTTCAAACCATGTTGAGAATTTATATTTTAAAGTTTAAATCTAGTTAATATATTCTAACTGTAACATAATTCTCTAAAGATAAAAGGATTTGTGATGGCAAATGGACCAAACAATCATTTAGGTAGCATCTAGGAATATTGCTACAATTACTTTACATAAATAGAAATCCATGTCTTTATTAGTAAGGTATCACATCTTAGAGTAAAAATTCACATAGGACAGGCTTATAAATATACATAAATCTCAAAATCAATTGCAATTGAACATTAGGTACACAATTATTATAAAACAAATATAACCCATCGGTGTCTATTTAAAGGCATAGTTTTTACAAAATAGTATTTTATAGACAGTCTCAAAAAAGTATATTAATACTCCTGGAGCCAGATTGTCCCAGCATCAGCGTGTCTGTGGGAATAAGGCATGTGGAGAAGCTGCATTCACTCATCCAGGTGGCCGGGACATTGTACGTGCTGAAGTGGTAACTCTAGTGACCTAGGTGGACGCCACAACCACCACAGAGAGTCACCCTAGAGAGTAACTTACCCTCCGGAAGGATGGAACGGAACAGCTATTTGCCTAATAACAAGCATCAGTACATCTTAAGTGAAAAATCTCAATGAGCTTGATGATTCACTTCAATGTTCCGTCTCCAGACATACTTAAAATCACACTAGCATAGCCACTATTTTTGTGAAAAGGAACTTATATCAGGTTGTTTATTAAATATAAAAACAAGGAAGTCCAACCTGTAACTAAATAACGGAGTATCTGAATAAGGAATCTAAATACAAAATATGAATAGGTTCTATCAACATGCCATCTACTTAATTAACATTAGCCTTAGTTTCTTAACTAAAAGTATAGACAAGTCAAACTCAACAGTGATACTTTATACATTCTTAACAATTCATATCATGTTGAGTGGAGGAGGCAAGGCTTAATAAAGGAATCCTTTCTACAAACTAAATTCCTATAAACTCAAAGGTAGTTTTGCCTGTAATATGCACAATGTTGTATCTCTTGGGTTTTCGAGTATTCAAGGGATCAGGAACAGAAACAATCCTGACAAAGACCTTCACGGGGGCATGGCGTCTATGTACAAACACACACAGACCTCGCCATGTATGTACAAGTATATACACACACATACTGAGAATAATCAAACTGTCCACTAAACATAATCAGTTCTGTTTAGAGAACAAGGATATACACTACAATTATATACAACGAAGTATACACATCTCAGCATCTGGCCTAGTGAAGGAGTTCTCAAATATTTTTCCATGAGGATACATGAGGGAGATGCCATAGTCGTGTGTATAAAACTCTGCCCTGGGCATAACAGATTTAGATAATGCTTAAAAAGAAATCTACAGAGAAATAAATTACTCTGAAACACTATAATCCCCACAAGAGCAATTCAATAGTAAAAGTCATTCATGATGGCCACAGCTTAGAGAAATTAAAACTGCTGCTTACCCAGTTCTGAATTTACTGCAACAGAGCTGAGCAGCTGAAACAGAGACCACAGAGCCTAAAATTCTCTACCATCTGGCCCTTTACAGAAAGTTTGCGGACCCCAGGCTAGGCCTGAGAATGACACACAACCTCAGTAGCAATATCTTGGAAGCACAAAATCCAGAATATAGACAGTAAACTTAATTACAGAAATTGTAGTAAAAACCGTCTGGGGTGAAAAATCCATCCCTGAGTTGTCCGAACTTTCCGGTGTCCTTAATGTCAAAAGCCAACTTAAGATCATTAAATATGGCTCCTGCATTTTGTCTGAAATCATGGTTATAAATTCAGCTTGGAGATTACAGTGGGGCAATAAGAGGGCATTGGATTCTAAATGAGAAGACCTGGGGTTTTAGGCAAATCACTTTTAAAAATTAACTAAGACAAATACATTCTTCTAGTATTGTCCAATCTGTATTTAAAAAAAAAAAACAACCTATTAAAAGCACTACATACCTGATAAAGATTCTAAATGTTTTTGAGAAGAAAGTTATAGAAAGGGAAATGTACCTCTTTCCCCAAACAGAACTATAAAAGTCCTTCTATTTATTGTTAATCAGTAAAGGGGGAGAAAGCACCTACCTAATTTGAGTGTGCATGGTGGGTTCCATTTAACAAACACCTTAATGAGTGTGCATAAAGACACGAATGTGTAGGAAGTCCTTTCACATTCCTAGGCCTCAGCTGCCCCTTTGTCAAGTAAGGGCATTAGATTAAATGGCCAGCACTGGTCATTTATGCCGAACGACTAGCCTCAGTTTCTTCATCTGTAAAACTGGATTAATAATAGAATCTACTTCCTGTGGGGATTGTGAGGATTAAATGGGTTAATCCACATAAGGTGTTTAGAACAGCACTAAACACATTTAGCTGTTATTATGGTTCTACTCGGGCATTTTAGGAAAAAAATAATGTTGGTTAGGCATCTCCCCAGTGACAAGTACTATGTTGTAAAATGGGAATACAGAGATAAAACAGAAATTTATTCTCATATTAGGTAAAAATAAATGAAGTTGAAGTCTACAGAATTTTAATTTCAGTGTGCCTATAAACTAACGGTCCTCTGGAATGAGTCAAATGCTGTTCTGCATTCCTGGTCTGTTAGTTCTTATTTGCAAACAATAATTATTGTTCAGAATATCAATTTAGGTTCACCGCAGGGCAAGACAGAACCGACTTTCTATCTGTGTTTCAAAAGTTCAGTGTTTGCTAAAGAAACGGTTTATGGTTTGATCACAGGTGGAAGAATATAAAAATGCTGGTCAGTCTGGCATTGCATATGAAATACAAGCCCCTGAACCAAACAAACTTGCCACGGAAGTACAGTTTCATCTACTTTTTTCTGTCCAACAAGTGTTTGCTGAGCGCCCACGGTGTGGCGGTGTCTTGTTACAACCACGAGTAGCAAGAAATGGTCCCTGCATCGGGGAGCAAGCAAGGGAGGACGAGCAAGGGATTGCAGTAAAGTGTGATGGACAGCTGGATGGAGAAGCCCAGTGTGCTGTGGGAGCACGAGGTGGGGGACTTAAACCTATCTAGTCCAGGGGACTGGAGGAACAAATACTGAAGCTGTGACCTGAAAGGTAAGTAGATCAGCAAGCACAGGAAGTGGGAGACGTCTGGGCACAGGCAACACCATGAGAGGGGAGTTGAGAGCAGCTGCCTTGCGTGGACATGGCAAGTGAGGAGTGGTGGCAAAAGATGATTTGGGAGAGGGGCGCCTGGGTGGCTCAGTCGTTAAGCATCTGCCTTCGGCTCAGGTCATGATCCCAGGGTCCTGGGATTGAGCCCCACATAGGGCTCCCTGCTCAGCGGGAAGCCTGCTTCTCCCTCTCCCACTCCCCCTGCTTGTGTTCCCTCTCTCGCTGTGTATCTCTCTGTCAAATAAATAAAATCTTAAAAAAAAAAAAAAAGATGATTTGGGAGGTAATCAAAATGGATTGCATTTTACCCTAATGGCAATAAGAAGTCAGAGAAAGTTCTAAGCACGAATATGCAAGACTGGTCATCAAAGTGGAAACAATTTGTGAAATAAATAGCTTGACCTGAAACGCAAGCAGAGGGAAAATCCATTAATGTGTTCCTTCCCTGCCTGCTACAGAGGCTAGCCCGTCTTTCTTTAGTCTTAACCTATTTATAGCTGAAATACCATATACATCAGAGAGTGAAGTATAAAAATATTTGCCTTCTTATTTACAAAGTGGGTGCCTGCATACGCTGTATCCTCACTACTGAACAAGCATGATAGCTCAGAAGGTGTGCAAAGGCCACCCTCAGCCGGGACTGGAGGGCTCAGTTCCAAGGCCATGGCAGCGAGGTGGAGCCACAGACTTGAACCAGATGACCCGAGTTTGAATCCTACCCAGTTCTTTTGCTCACCTAACGTCATTTAACCTCTCTCCATCTGCAATGAGGATTATTTCTCCTACATCACTTGGTAGACTGTGTGTCACAGAATCGCAATGTTTTCCTTATTTTTGTACAGTTCCAGAATTTAAAAGTTCTCCCCCTACCCCCCAGGTGGACTTTCACCCTGACGGTGAATTTCAAGGATGGCATTAGAAATCAATCTCCAGTCTTGTTTAATCACAAAATCCACAAATCCAGCTCTATAGCAATGATGGGGCCAAGCCAGAGGACTGCGAAACTCTCCAGTGGAAATCCATCAGCAACTCAATGACACCCATAGACTCTTTTCCTCTGAATGGGCTGTTAGCACAGACATTTGGAACAAAGGAACATTTGGGTTCCTTTGAAAAAAGGGGATGCATTAAGTCAAGGCATTATGATAAGTAATGCTGATTGCTGGTCCAGTTTACAAGTCCGAACATGTTGAACGGAAACTCTAGGTGAATTCACTCTAGGGGTCATCTCCCATTTTCTGATTTAAAAAAGAAATGTCATCTTTAAAAAGTTTCTACTCCAAATCTCCACAATCTCCAAAAATGTTTATTTTCAAAATGCCTTAAATTTTTATTAAGAGGACTTGTCTATTATAATACATATTTAATCATACTCCGTGGATGTCGACTCTGACAACGGATTTAGCTGTAACAACACATGAATCGTTTAATTTATAAAATACAGTGAGAGAAGAGTCCAAATTCTAACCGCTAACAATGCCCTTTTTTCTTTTTTTTATCATTAATATAGTTTTACATCTTCAGGAACACTCACAGTTCCATTCCTAACCTTTCCAAACAGCAATAAAAAATATTTTCTCATAACTACTCACTGACTGAGAAGAAATTTCCTCTAAGTATGGACCATTTTCTTATCATTATAATCTTTCCCATTCTCCCCATCAGCTGTGTAAATATCCAAATGCATTTATGGAAATTTGAAACTTCTTCTGCCTAAAAGGTTGATTGTGAACTAGGGCCATCCAGTAATGTTCTCTTTAGTAATGTCCCAAGTAACTCTCCTGAGCTGTAGTTGGAAGAATAAAGGTTGTTTAGAAGCTGTATGCCTAGCTCTTTCTCTACCTTGTTATGTGTTATCTGACCAAGTAGCCAAGGCCACATGGTATGTGGGTCACCAAAAAAGGCAGCTTTCCTTGACCTCAAATCCCATTCAGTAAGATGGTACTGACAATTTTCAACAAGCCAACTCAGAGATGTTTTGAAGCTCAAATAAGAAAACACATTTCAAAGTGCTTAGAAAAATTTTTAAGTACTTTCCAAAAGTATGGGATCAATATTAAACAATCCTCTTGATTAGAAAAGCAGCTTGCTCTCTCTTCCAAAAACTGAAATCATAGGAGTCTTTTTTTAAATAAGAAAAGCTAAAATTATACTGCATATTCTTAAAAAATATATTTATACTAAAGACTTTCTAATCCATTTAATATGTTGGCTTTGCAGCTGTGTTTAAGGGGTTCCCATCAATAAGTAGAAGGTCAGGGCAACAATGAGAAGCAAACAAAACGGAGAGGAGAAGGTCTGATAGGCAGCTGATGGCATAAAAATGTCTTCATACTTGTAAATACTGACAACACGCTCTGAAGTCGGTGGTGAGTCTATGTCGTGTCGGGTGATAGAGCCTTTAAGAAAGAAAGAAAAAGGAAGGGGGCAGTAAAAAAAAAGATTTAAAATGATATATGCAAACAACAGAAAGATTAGACAAGTCTTTAGCATTGACTACATAAGCAGGAATTATAAAGATCTGGAATCAGATATTAGAGCTATCATCAGAATTCTCTGTAATGGTACATACATAGAAATAGAAAGAACATAGAAATTACCTAAATTTACCCCGAAGACTGGTTCTCATGAATCCACACACCCACTACCAGAACAATACTACTGATCTTTCCATTTCACCCCACTCTGTTGCTTCCTAGTATTGTATGAATGCCTACTTTCAAGGTCTCTAATGAGTTTTATCTTACTAATACCATAAGGAGAACTGTATGTTGATTTCAAACAGTAAGAGCTACTCTTTTTTCCCCTCAAACATATCTTTTATATATGTATCATCAACCACTCCTGACCACGCCATACTTGCTTCTAGATGGAGGTCTCTGTCACTGTCTGTGGGCTATGACGTGGTGGCCGGCCCAGATCAGACGGGAGAGTGTGTGGGTGTGCTGTGTGCGTGTCTGTATGGTTGAGAAGCAGAGTGAGGTAGCAGGAGGATTAAGATACCAAACAAATGTCTGGACTAGAGACATTTTTTTTTAACTTGGTTAGATGTGTAAAGAGGGAAAGGCTGTGTACATGGGATGCTTAAAAAGCTGAAATTTGGGGTGCCTGGGTGGCTCAGTTGGTTGGGCGACTGCCTTCGGCTCAGGTCATGATCCTGGAGTCCCAGGATCGAATCCCGCATTGGGCTCCCTGCTCCGCGGGGAGTCTACTACTCCCTCTGACCCTCCCCCCTCTCTCTCTCATTCTCTCTCTCAAATAAACAAATAAAATCTTCAAAAAAAAAAAAAAAAGCTGATATTTATTCAATGTGCCTGGCCTCCTGAATAAGCCACATGGAACTTGGGTTAGGGAGACCACAGGTGTGTGAGTTCAGTGGAAAGGTCTCCTTGGAAACAGGGCTCCGAGTGAGTGTTTTTTAAAGTCCTGTCTGCTAGGGAAGCCCTGCCAAATCGGACACGTTAATTCCCTGCTCCAGATTCTGTGCTGGCTCCTGTTAGCGCAAGTCTAACTCCTCAGGTCGGCAGACATTTTTCTTTCAACAGATGCACTCCCCTCTCCCATCTAACCTAACCTCCCTCATTGGTCATGTACATGGGCTCCTAGGCTTAACCACCCAGCAACACTGCCCTTGAGGGAAACCTAATCCCATATCCCCTTTAAGCCTTAGCTTAAAGTGTAGCCCCTTTGAGAGACTTTAAGAGAACGGATAGGATTTGATCAACAGAGAGGGATTTAATCAAAAAAGGGTGCACAAGCCTGTATACGGGGTAGGAATATGCCTGTTCTGTTTGAGGACAGTAAGAACACCCAGAGTCTTGGAGGGCTTATCAGGCAAAGAGGGATCAGACTTGAGGAGGGCCTAGACTGTTAGGCTATTATTCCATTTATGTGAGACGATGACTTTCCCAAGTACAACACTTTCCAAATTGTAAAGGAACTTCAAATACTTGTTTTCACTGAATGCTTCCAATGATCCTTTGAAGTTGGTATTCTCATCATCCCCATTTTAGATACAAAGAAATGGGAGTTCAGAATTTAGAGGAAGGCCAGGTATAGCTACCAATGGGAAAAACCTGCACTCAAATCTAACGTTTTGGGCTCCAAACCCCATCATTTTAAATAGGTCCATTTCTCTAGGCTGAGATATAGGTACTGAAAGTACTCAAAGACATAACTGCAGATCCATTGCTGGGATCCTGGGAAATAAACAAATGGGAAAGGTGTCACATCCAAATGTTTTGGATGCCATCTGAGGCATCCAAATGTTTTCCCAATTAGAAACAAGGCCCAAAAAAGGGGGCACCTGGGTGGCTCAGTCAGTTAAGCGTCTGCCTTCAGCTCAGGTCATGACCTCAGGGTCCTGGGATCGAGTCCCACATCGGGCTCCCTGCTCACTGGGGAGCCTGCTTTTCCCTTTCCCTCTGACCTTCCCCCCTGCTCATGCTCTCGCTCACTCACGCACTCTCTCTCTCTCTCAGAATGGAAAAAAAAAAAAAAAGAAAGAAACAGGCAAAGAAGGTATAAAATCTCCAATCAGTGGAAACATTTTGAAGAAGATAAAAAAAACAAACCTAGATCAGATTAGGCAACTGAAAGTTGATGAGCACACAGTAAAGAAAGACACAACTGTCAGAGCCAGAATGAGCTCTCCTACAAGCACCACGAAGAACTCATTTCCGTTCTTAGGCCGTTAGGCTTGATCAGCCAGGAGGACTGCTGAAGACACCATGTAACTTGATTTTGGCAGCCTCCAAAAGGTCTCATGATATCCTTGGGTCTTTGTGGGGGATCTGCTGAAAAGCCTTGCCACCCAAAGCGAGGTCGTCAATGAACCAGCATCCACTGGGAAGCTGGTTAGAAATGCAGAATCTCAGGTCCCACCCCAGACCTACTGAAACTGCATTTTAATGATATAGCCAGGCAATTCCTGTACACATTAAAATTTGAGGAGCAGTGGGCTAAATTATAGGATAATTTGATGGATTTGTGACTACCAGAATGGTCATAAAGTGAACACTACTGGGATGCTAGGTGTCAGTCTCTACAGAAGTCTCCAGATGTCCTTTCCTGTTCAATATTTTTTATATTTAGAGCATAAGAGCTAAGAGTACTCACTGACTTTGGAGTCAGTCAGACCTAGGACTGAATTTTAGTTCTTCCATTAATTAGTTGTATAGCCTTGAGCAAGTTCCTTAATCTCTCTAAAACGAGGATGATAATATCTATACCACTCAAGGATGTGGTGAGGAGTAAATGAGAATGTCGTGAGAATTAGCACATACCTCCACATATAGCAGACCCATGATCTGTTCCATTAAGTGCAGAGCTCATCACATACTACCTTGTACTGTGCCAACTACGTTCGCATATTACTTGTCCATTTGTATGTCCATGTGTATAATAAGTCCATTACAACTTCCTAAAGGCAGGATCCTATCTCCTTTGTCTTTTACACTATCCAAAGGGCTTATTGCTCTTGCCCAATAAATAATGAACACAAGCAAAGCAGTGTCTGGAGTTTAATCCAGATGCCAAAATGTAAGCTTACCCTGAATGGCTGGACCCCAGGCAAACAGATAATACCAACTCAAATGCAGATCGACAATTGTCTCATCTCTGGGAACGTTCACGGGGCGTTTAAATCTGCAGGTGACCCGATTGTTCTCAAAGACTCCTTCTTCATCTCTGGCAGGATTTCTCTGGATCTCCTTTGCCCACTGGCCTACATTATAAAAGTGCTGTATGCGGACCCTCCCATTGTCATCGTGGACACAGGCCATGACGTCATCACCACCCTACCATGAAAAACGATGAAGGAAAGAGTCAAAGGTGCGTCTTTTACAAACGTCTCTGCTAGAAAGAAATTTCACTCAGATATATCCATTTCATTATCTCTGTAAATTTGAAATCCCACCCTCCAAAATTATTTTTATTAAAAAAGCTTTAACCAAGTGATGAAGTTAGCATTGCAGAAGCGGACATCAAGTGCCTCCTGACGTGATGTTCAAAGAATACATCACCAGCTATTTAGTATTCCTGCTGAAAACGCAAACCGAACCTAATCATGAAGAAACAATCAAACCCAAACTGAGAGTCATTCTACAAAAAATGATTATAAAAAGTATTAAAAAAAAATACTTGTAATCTTCAAAAGGGCCAATGTCAGTCATGAAAGATCACACACACACACACACACACACACACAAAAGGCGAAGAAACGATTTCAAAATAAAGAAGACTGGGCGCCTGGGTGGCTCAGTTGGTTAAGCGACTGCCTTCGGCTCCGGTCATGATCCTGGAGTCCCGGGATCGAGTCCCGCATCGGGCTCCCTGCTC